GAACTAAAGAACTATTCCGCTTCCTTTGGTTGCTAGTCCCATTTTTTAAAATGTCTGTGTGCTCTGCAATAAGGCAAAGAAGAACACTTTTACAAGCCTATTCTGCGCTGGTAATAAAAATAAGCTGACAACAAAGTATTGCCCCGTGAAATATGCAACGTCAGAATTTCCACAACTCTTCTTAGCTTAGATTCTAGAATCGCGGTGACAAGAACAGGTAACATTTTTTGGCAATAAAATTTTCCGGTTACAAAATCTGCGGTAACGTGCAGAATAGACCTGTTAGTATTAAATAACAATATTATCAAGGATATTGAAGTCCCTTTCTCTCTTTCTGTTTAAATCTAAATATATATAATAACAACTTTGAGGTTGTCCGGAAATATAATAGAAGATAGAATTGAAAGAGGCAACCTTAGACNTATATATATATATAATAACAACTTTGAAGTTGTCCGGAAATATAATAGAAGATAGAATTGAAAGAGGCAACCTTAGACCAGTGCAAAAACAAAATAACGGTTCAATGGTGCTAAACTCCAATAAACTCGATGTCGGCAAAGATTTCTACCGATATAAAGGCTCATTGGAGACACACTAAATATTGAGAGAATTTCAATACTTTTATTCGTGAATCAACACTTTTTAACACAAATATACCTTTGTTGAGATTTTGTGCTAATTTGAAAAACTTTTTTTAATATTTGTTATATTTATCTGAGCAACACTGTATGTTTAACTACACCTGGTTTTAAGATAATATTCACAATTATTTTCCTGAAAATTGTTTGCCTTATTTAGTTATGAAAATATGTATAGTTCATTATAACACTGTGCAACAAAAAGAAAACCTAGAGTGCGCATATATCAGGTTTGATAGCTGTTGCCCATACGAACAATGCCTCATACTCAGATTTACTAGACCAATTCGTGTTATCGAGAAAACAAATTTTCACTATCCCAAAATCTTAGTATAGCGGCCAAATTTTTTTCTCCAAATTTTGAAAATTCATCGTGTTTTGGTTTATATTTGCTTTGAATGCTATTTTCAATAAATATAGGTAAAAGAAACGACAAGTTTTCCAAACTTGGAGAAAAAATGTGCCGCTATACTGAGATTTTTGGATCCTGAAAAGTTTTTTTTCGAGAAAACGAACTGATCTAGTAAATCTGAGTTTGTTGTTGTTGTTGTTGTTGTTGTAGCGGCTGCAACAACCCCGCCCAGATCGGTTGGTATCTCAGTCGTTGTCGTCAAGTTCCACTAACGGCAACCCTAGGAAGCGTGCAGCTTCTGTGGGATCTGTCCACAGGGACAAGGCCGTTAGGGTTGTCGGGTTTTCCGGGCATGCGAAGAGATGGTTCGAGTCATGTGGGGTCTCTCCGCATGCCGGACATTCGTTCGGCACATCCTCATTCAACCTACTCAAGTAGGAGTTTAACCTGCTGCNTTTGTATTTTCGCACGGTTTGAAGAAACTTTAAATCAGTAGCATCAAATGGTTTTGTGTTAGTAAATCTAAAGTAAAAAATAGTAGTTCATTAAGAAAGAGGGAAGAGGGTAGGGGGACCAATCCCCTCTGGCTACCCCACATTATTGTTGAGTACCGAAGTCATATGCAACTTCTTTTTGAGAATATTTAATCCGTGCTATTACAGAATAGCCGTTTTATGTCGCATAATATCCCAAGAGTTTAATGTTGTTGTTGTAAAGGTATACATATTCCCCAAAGAATTTTTGAGGAGTGTTGCTGAAGTGGCAGTCTTTCACCAGATATAAATCTGGGTCGTTCCGGTTACGTAGACCCGAGTGTCGTAGTTTAATGCTTACCTTTGAATGACAGCAAATATTATGAAGAAAACGGGTTACTGTTTGTAGACTTTTTAAAAATTCACTAACTCGACCGGGATCATCACGTAATGTTTGATTAATAGCCTCAAGACCATGCTGAAGAAGAAGCTTCAGAAACTGATGCGAGTACTGTAAACAGCAGATACGAATTTTACTATTCAAAAATTGATAAAAAGTACAGATAAAATAAAATAACTTAAAATAAAATCGAACAAAATAATGAAATCAGGAACCAAAAATAGCTGTTATCTAGAGTTTACAAGTGGAAAACGCTACCCAAATTCTGCGATTTAATGAAAAAGTTAATTCATAACAGGTATTGCATGAGAAAAATAAGAGTCAAGAGAGGAAAAGTAAATTTTATTAAATTTAAAAAGTTAATTTGTGAAAGTACCTTTGTAAATAGTTGAAAATTTCGTGGCACATCTAAAGCCTTAACAATGTCAAGCAGTATATTGAACAGCTCACAACTTTTATCCCACATTTTCATTTTATCATCCCTCTGTGTGGCAGTTTTATTTATTAACTCACACAGATAACCAACCGTTGATTCGCACATAGCACGAAAAAGTATTGGAAAATTTGCTCTAAAATTAGTAATAGGTTAGTCATTTCACATAAATTATTTATTTGTAGCTATTACTTACTTTTTAAAGTTTGGAAAGGATTTGAGTGCGCTGTCATTGCCTTTAAGTTGCTTGCATTCGTCTATTAAAGCACGTAGAACGGTACCCAATCGACGAAAATCAGAATTTTTGAGAAAACCTTTTACTAGTATATCTAAATATATGTTGCATGTGCCGCCCTTCTCTGCTAGACCTTCGTAGCTGAACCACTTTCGCTGCAAGAATTTCTTGCACAAACCACCTAGGAAATTTTTTTCATGTTTTAAAATTTCAGAAAATCTTGGTGTAAAGGGAAGCAGCATCATTGTATGTACATATGTATGTACGTGAGTTATTTGTATTGTTTACTTACGTATATCCTTTTCTTGTTTTTCAATCAATGCCTTGCGTTGCTCCAACTCATTGGTCTTACTACTCTCGGTTTTGCTGGAAAAACGCTTTAGAATTTTTAGCAAGTCTTGTAAATGTACAGCAGTTTTCAAATCGGTAACAGAAACTTCGTATTTAAGCATCACATTAAATGCTGCGGCTGCAACATCTGCCAAAGACTTTTTGCACAGACTTTGTCTCTGGGTATTAGCCAATAGAACAAGCAGAGAATCTGTAAATGTTAATGTAGTATACATGTATCTTGGTACACTACTTAACACAATTTTATTTCACTAAAAATTTGTGTACTTTTTTTTTTAACTTCAAACTACTTATTATCTAATAGTACACTTTTATGTGCGTTTTCAACTTCTGTTTCATATTCTCTGTAACAGTGTTTATATTGAGGATACATTCGTACATTTTTCGGCTCTTTTTCACTTAGAATGTGCATTAGATGATTATGCTTGAAATTAGTTTTCTTTTCATACGAATTCATTTTGATTGAATAAGGTTATTTTTTAGTGGTACTTGGTACTTCAGTTACAGTTTTGAAATTTTTACTTTCAGAAATCGGTTCTGTAAGCGACCATCGATTGTTGACAATGTATACTGATTGCATTACGCTTAATGTAGTACTTCACATTAACAAAATAATTGTTTGTGGTGATTTTAGAGTTGAAATTGACAAAATAAACCTATTTAACTTTAATATTGTTATTGAGCTTTGTACCACGATTGAGTTTATTAGGGAAAATGGAAAAAGCAAGAAAGTCTAAGCGGTAGAAGTTATAGCTGCTATTTCGGAGATCATCCCATCTCCTCATCAGACTTCTAATATTTCAGCAGGGATCGAACCCGCGTCATCGATGTGCAAAGTCAGAAGCGTTAACCACTGAGCTATAAACACCCCCTAAACTCTTGTTGCTAATTCCTACTCTTCTTCAACCTACTACAATCAAGTGCAACTGATTTGCCGCTATTTAATACCTGACAGCGGAATTGTTGTTTATTGTATAGATTCAGGCAGGCTCTTCCTAAACTACGAATTTGTCATTATTAACATTTTATTTTTAATATTATAATTGAGCTTCGAACCACGATTGGGTTTATTAGGAAAAATATATATGTATCTACCATACAAACAGTTTAATTGACGCAGTAGACCGGTATCGAAACATTAGGGCTGTTCAAGATCTTGTGCATATGCTTTGGAACTTGCATATTCGTTGCATTTGTAAACTCACAACAATAACTGCAAATCCAAGACCACTTCCGCAACATCCTGAACAGCCCGATTGTATTGTTACGTTTTGGAAGTCAGCTCTTATTTCTTCCTAAGTGATTGTTGTAAGTATTAACTTGGAATAAATTAGGGTCCTTAGTTATTGAAATATTGGAGTTATCGTATTTCTAAAATTAACCGTTACATGGAAAGTGGGCGAAGTTTTAGTCCGATTAAAAATGTTTCCAACATATGGCTTTTAACTGTACTGTGTTTGGCAGAAATTGATAAATTGCTTACGAAGATACACATACGTATCCAGTCAAAAGTGGGTGGTGCCACGCCCATTTGTCAAAAAANACACAGTACAGCAGAAATTGATAAATTGCTTACGAAGATACACATACGTATCCAGTCAAAAGTGGGTGGTGCCACGCCCATTTGTCAAAAAATAAAGTTTAACAACCTCATTTAGAGCTAAAGATTATCACAAACATCGATATNTGTGTTTGGCAGAAATTGATAAATTGCTTACGAAGATACACATACGTATCCAGTCAAAAGTGGGTGGTGCCACGCCCATTTGTCAAAAAAAAAAGTTTAACAACCTCATTTAGAGCTAAAGATTATCACAAACATCGATATTGTGCGAAGTAGTTTCAGTGGTTACTGATTTATCGCAGTCTTTTATTTCTTTAAACTATCCAAGTTTGGTTTGGATTGGTAAGGTGGCTACTGAGATACACCATTTGATCATAGGTGGGCAGGGCCACGCCCATTACCAAGCATTTCATACTTGTGTTATTTTTTCCCAAATTTTATCACATATTCAAAATTTCAATAACTTGGATCCAGCTGTTGCGCAAATATCGCAGTTTGTGCATTTTCGAAAATGCCGTTATATGGGAGGGGCCGTGGTTGCCGTTTTACTCCAACACCACCGCCAATTTTACATAATAATAATAGATTGGCTTTTACACAATATGTTAGTGCTTGACCGAGATTCTAATCTGATATATGGCGTGTGCCATGATGTTGTCACACCAAGGGGAGCGACCCACAGTTTAACGCCGACTCCAAACGGGGATTATATAAGATGTTTTCCATAGCAGAAACACACTCGGAGATTTGCCATTGCCTGCCGATTTTTGATGTTGGCCGAGAACTTCTAACCACTACACTACAGCCGCCGCCTCGATTGATTTAGGCTGTTACAAACCACCTTTGTGCACAAGTGCGCTCGGGTATAACGCATGGAGGGTTCAGGGACTATAAGCAACGTTTTTATGTTGTATTCGACCCTACCAAAAACCTGTTCAAAGTTTTGTCTCGAGTGTACTCCGTTTTTTTCCTAGCACTGTATTATTAAGCCTCTCCTATTTTTGGATAAATAGTCTGGGCGACTTCGGGCACGAAAATGGTTTTAATGTTAATAAGCCACAATAACATTGACGAAAATGGTTTTTTTTTGTGTTCCCGTGGTTCAGGGTAGTTTATGCACTTTTGTGAGAGCATTCCATAATAACGCTCATTTTCCCGAAAATGTAAAAAAACAAACCTATTGACTGATCTCAAACGTTATTTTTTAAATAGTTTTTAGTTTAGCAAATAACGCGTATATTGTTATATGATCAGAATGAAAACTGCAGACTTATTTGCATACTTCTTATGTATAACCTAACTGGAAAATATTGGGGCTGTTCAGGATGTTGTGGATATGGCATTGGATCTGCAGTTTAAATTGCATTTCCAAATTTTATGCTGGTTGCCATGACAACCGTGTACATATTAGCATATGCTCAAGATTCTGAACAGCCTTTTTGTTATTTTCTTAGATGTTTCACTTGCAAACTGGTATAAATAAGTGAATATGTTCGAAATTGTGTAAACACCAATCAACCATGCAAAAATAGGATCAAGTGCACTTAAGCAAAATTACCTTTCAAGAGTGCCTCCGTGGCGTTTCCATCACTAAATTGCGTCCACGAAAAGAAAACTGCTAACAAACGTACGCACATATTGAAACAGAGTTTTATGTAATTAAACTCAGTGGTGAAAAGGTCGCCATTGCTATAAACGTATTTTACACTTTCCAATTGTTTGATAATCTCTGTTGATAACTGCTTAAAAATAAAATTGAAAAACTCCTATACCATTTGTTTTATAAAAATATTGTATAAGACCTATTTTTGGTGGATTTGCATACCCTTGACATTCTCTCCACAATTGTTTGCAGAAACTTGGATAAGTCGTACATAAAATATTCTGGTTTAGCGATATGCTGTGATGGCTGCTCATTCTGCAATTTTTGCGCACCAGTAATCGATTCTAATTTGCAGACTAAATCGTTTAAAATGAAGCGCAATTCAAGCAAACCAATTCGTTTGCCAATATCTTGTAATGGTAATGGATATTTCACAACTAATTCTTCACGTAATATCAACATGATGTCGGAATCCATTTGTCTGAAAATTATCGTTGAAACCCGATTGTGAAAACAAACACATACAAACATATTTAAACCGAATCTTGTTACCTGTATACTTCCCGTGGTCTATATAGGACATCGAATCTTTTCTTATTGTCCGTGTTTTTAAAGCGCCCAATGTTTGCCAATTTGAAGGTAGCATTGGCTTCGTTAGTTACGTTGCCTACGTGTGTGTCATTGAAAACTATGGACTCGGAGTTTAAGTCTTTGTCATTTGGATCCTTTTGTTGTGTAGCTTTTGTTGATGCCGTTGGCTTACTGCGAGCTGCGAAGGAATGGAATAAAAAGCAAAAACAAACAAGTAAATTTTAACCCGCTGCTACTGACGTGACCGAAGTTTCCCTATTATATTGACGTGTAGTCTCCCAGACAACAATTTTCCAGATCAAAAAATATATATAAGAAATTTATGAATAAACATTCTTCGATTTAAACTGGAAATTCTATCAATATTTTAGGTACTCATAAATGAAATAAACTATGTGTCGAAAAATAGGCATTTTTAGTAATCAATGTTATTGAAGCTCGGGAAAAATGTCGAACCTTCGGTGTCTGTCAGTCGTAGAGGGTTAAGGAAAAAACAAAACCGACTTCAATTCTCATATAAAAATTTAAGATTATCGTNACTATAAGAAATTTATGAATAAACATTCTTCGATTTAAACTGGAAATTCTATCAATATTTTAGGTACTCATAAATGAAATAAACTATGTGTCGAAAAATAGGCATTTTTAGTAATCAATGTTATTGAAGCTCGGGAAAAATGTCGAACCTTCGGTGTCTGTCAGTCGTAGAGGGTTAAGGAAAAAACAAAACCGACTTCAATTCTCATATAAAAATTTAAGATTATCGTTCATTTCTTCATCATCCAATGAACGAATTTAAACCAAATTAGTATGGGACCACCTGTGAGGTAACACCTTTCATTAAAAAAAAAACAGAATTATAGAAAGCGTTTAACGTGGTCCAAAGTTAAGCGGTAACATACATAAAAAAATTTATTCCCGGCGAATTGATAACCTTCTCCTTTTTGTGAAGCCTGTTAAAAATAAATAATTGAAGCTATCATTTTTATAAGGGTTTGGCTAAGCTCCTCCTCCGATTTGTGATGTTAAAACACAATTTTTGGGAACTACCTTTTTACGCCGCCTCCGAACGGCAAATGGTTTTTTTGCGAAGCTTTTTGTATGTAAGAAACTACCTGAAAAAATTTTTTGAATGAACTATATTTTTAGAATAAAAAAAACCAAAAATAAGTAGAATAAAAAACTTTGCATACACTGCGAAAAATTCTCCGCATCAACACTTTTGTTCGTCACTGTACATACGTATAAGTATTCATTAAGAATTTGCCATGCATACAGTCAAGTGTAGAATATAAAGACCCCAAAAAAAGTTCGTTGATTATTTACTGCTATTTCCAATTTCTTTGATCCACCAGCCAGTAAGAATAGATTATACGGTTGACAAACGGGCTCGCTTATTTGCATAAACAGCCTTTATTTGCTTCGACTCATGCATTTTCCTCTTTAAAATGCGCATAAGCAGCCGAACAAATGCACGAAATTTTTGGAAATTAACTCTGATCCGGGGAATTTTCGATATCAACGCTGGTATTAACGGTCAGCTGTTGTCTTTTGTACAAGTAAGCAAAGAAAGCAGGTGGGTTTCCAGGCTAAAAGCCTGTAGCTGCCAGGTTCGATTCTCGGTTGGGGCGATTGCGAAAAAGTTGTTTGTTGTTATTATCTATTTTTTTTTATTTTTTTTATTTTTCTTTATTTTATTTGATTTATATATTTAATTTTACTTTATTTTATTTTCATTTGCTTTATTTTATATCACATTTTTTATTTTACTAATAGTTAATTTAAATTTTTAGAGTTGAATTTTATTAAAAAGTCAACAACAACTAACTGAAAGCAGTTTAAAAAAATATAGAACTCAAAAAAAAAGAGCGAAAACGAAATAAATGAAAATTCTACTGGCCGTGGGTCTCCAACCCACGACCTTGCGGCTCGTTTATCCGCATTACTGGCATCTGTAAGGCTAAAATTATTATGCGTATTTGTGTGCTAGTTTATCTGCGTAAGCATCCACCGCGTTCTTCAAGCAGCTGCAGCTGGCGATGTCAAGCTCCACCGCATGAGTTCCTAAAGAATAGCGTCCGATCAGTACACCTGTAAGAATCGAGAGCTGACGCTTATCCAGCAGCAGAAGCGCCTCTTCCACGTCCGCGGAGAAAAACCGACTAGTTGCCAAAGGAACTCCTATGCTCTCCCAGGAGCATCGAGGATACCCCGTCTATCCAATTCATTTAGCCCTGCAATTTCCAATTATAATTCTGTGCCCTGGGACCCAAATCAGAATGGTTACTTCCTATGTACTTATCCATATGTAAAATTTTCGGCTGTCTCAATATATAGTAAAAATATAAGATGCTAAAATAGTTTATAGATATAACCAAGTTCCGGTTTTTCGAGATGTGAAAAAAGTGCACCCACTAAAATGCATGTTATTTGGATATAGCTGGGAAAATATAGCTGGGATATAGTGGGGATTTTTCGACAAATTTCTTTCGAAAATGGCTACAGGGTTCAATATTTTGCCAATTTTAATAACTTTTTTTTTGTAATGCTCGTAAATGATTTTGGAAGAGATTATCTAGGGGACAGTAATCTTTAGCGACTTGCAACTTGCACTATGTTGTACTATAAAATTAAATGGGCTACAAAACTGCTTAGTCGAAAATTTTATAGAAATCCTGAAAAAGAGTCGGATGATTTTTCAAAATTCGTCTAGCTTATCGACATATTAGCTGTCATGTTGCATTTCGGTAACCTACCATGTGATATTTTAAAGGGTGTGTAGTAGCTACAATTTGAGTAAACACAGTAAAAATATTCTAAGTTGATTACTTTTTTTTATTGTTACAAGCATTTTAATCTGTACTATTGATGTTTTTTTGGGTTTCTGGCCGACATCTTGTAATTTTTTAATGCGTCAAGTTGCATTCGGAAGAGTACATGAATAAGAACAAACGTTTTTCTCGAGCTCTTCAATTTTTGACCTCGAAAAAAATTTGCTTTTAACTTTTTAGGTATAAAGGAGAGGAGAGTGAGAGATTTCACCCCTTAAGGTGGGTTGGAAATTTGCGTACTTGCTACTGATGTATTACTATTGATTAGAACTACAATAAAAAAAAAATGTCAAACCGGTTTTGAATACATATCATTTTTTGTTTCTAAAGTTTTTCTGAATTTTTGATATATAAATACCTCTATTTAAGGGTGCGTTTTGATATATTTAAAACAAAATAAATTCGGGCCTAGACAATGGGCGGTATGCATAAAAAATAATCAATTGTTTTTTTCTTAAAATTTAATACCTTTCACTTAAATTTATTTGAACAAATCGAGTGAAAAATCTGAAATATAATAAAAGCATTTGAAGTGATATAGTAGGCCTTCCTTTTGCCAGAGGCTTACGGGGGGTATGTTGAGGGGTCATCCTTGAAATTATACCCTGATCAGGGTAGCATTGAGAGACAGAACACCCTTAACTTGTAAAATCCAACAACCAAAATTAATATTTAGTTAAGGCTGCAATTTTATCCACTCAGATAGTTCACAATTATCAAGTTTTTTTGTTTTGTAGTATAAAAAATAATATAAAAAGTCTCTGCGCCTAGATATTTGAGGTTGACTGTATATAGTAATATTACAAATATAGCAAATTGAGGTGTAGATACATTTAAGGGATAATTATAATAACTAGTACCGCCCAGTTGTAGAAATTTGACAACTTTTTTCATACACTTTTGAATTTTACCTGCCACCAATACTAACTCCTTCACGCGAATTAATATTTTGAAGTCCACCACCGTAATAGCTCTGATCCAATACTTTTCGTGTTAAATCCTGTAAAAATGTCAAACAGCCAAATTACTCTCTGAAGTGAGAGTAAAAAGTAAGTAATAACGAAAAGTACGGGGGCAAAACAAGCATTTTTCCTGTCAAAACTTCAACCTGTGAACGTTTGACACTTTTCATGATTTTACCAAAAGAAGAAGCTCGGATAAAACCTTGCAACTCTATAGAACTCTCCGAAAAACCGCTCTCCTTTACAAGATTTTGGAGGAATTTGCAGTACGGGATCATTTTTCCTGTAACTTCCTTTAAGCTTGCGTAAAAACCTGTAAGTTCATGGAGTACTGGATCAGAGCTAATTTATAACGAATTTACAGGAAAACCTAAAATCGAGTTATGAACGTTAATATCGGATTAATTAATGCTAATGCTACCTCCTCCGAATTCTTCAGTAGCTTTTGAAATTAGACCGAAAAAGGAACCTCGATTTTCATTTATAAAAAATATGCATATGTAATTGTACGTATGTATGTATAGATGAGATATTCATCACTGACTAATATGACAAACATATACCAATTCAGACTGTAAATAAGTTTTTCGATTATATTTGTCTGAGAGCCTCTTGCAGGTTAAAAACTAAATTGCCCATATCTACCTAACCTCATTCTTTTTTTTTCATCAGAATTGTTGACGGTTGAGAAAGTATCTTGAAGGTTTACAACAAAAAGTAAAATTTGCTTCTCTAACGGCAATTTCGGATTTTTGTCAAGACTGGGCCAAAGCCCAATATTTTTTGATCACACGATTGGGCTACCAAGTTATACCAAATTTTATGTTAATTTTATGTGTTTTAAAAATGAAACAAATCGGATCATAAATATGATTTTTTTGGATAGCTCTAATCCCTGGGCTACCTATCGGAAGACCAACACACTCATCCTTCTAAAAACATTTGCGCAAAATAACAGTTATTCAATGCGATTTTAAAATCTGGGAGGAAATGGTTCTCAATTGAAAGATTCTTGCGATTCTATATATGTACATATAAATGTAGGTGTATAAAAGTCCATTACATTATAATAAGTGGTTCCAGAGATAACCGATATGAGAATGGGCGGTGCCACGCCCCCTTTTCCAAAAACGACCACTTTTTGCCGTAATTACGGTATTGATAACATAAATTGCTTTGTAAAATTTCAGGACCATAACATAAGCAATACAAGATGTATGCGATTTAAAAATTTCGGTTTGTATGGGAAGTGCCAGGCCCACTTTCCCAGTACCTAACATTTTTCATCGTAAGTAGGGTATTTACAATCTATGCATCTGTGCTAAGTTTCAGTTCATCAGCAGGATTGGTTTTAGAGATATGGGGCTGATTTCTCCAACTCAACTTAACTTAGTTTAGCCACTTTTCGGACTTAAGTCAAAAGTTAGCCTACGTTTTACACAGCTTATTCTTGACTAAGTCAAGAAATTTGGCTTGACTAAGTTAAGTTGAGTTGGAGAAACCAGCCCATAGTGGTTTACACATTTTAGTCTATATGGCAGATGCCACGCCCCTTATGTATCGGGATTAACATTTCTGGATTAAGGGAAGTTATATCCTTTAAATTGGTGTGAGTTTCATTGAAATTGAGCGAACGGTGCCATCAAAAAAGGGATTGCAAAATTTTCTTGTGGCGTATTTACATATGTATAGATAGATAGAAGTTTTATTTTTAAGAAAAATATACAGCAATACAAACATACAAAATTTTAGTGCAATCAATTAATAACACCGGCCAACATGAAAATTTTTCTGAGCTAGGACTAGCCATTTCTAATAGATTTGAATTCGAATTGCTCTATCTGCTCCGGTTTTTCAAATCTCCTATACATGCGCAAAAGCGCGCGTATATTCGAGGTTATGCAGCCATAGCGCCATTTTTTTCCTCGAAAAAATATATGTACATAGCATTTTAAAGTAAAAGTAGGCCCACTTTAAAAAAGTTGAATTTTTTTAATCTGGGGGCACAACTATGTTTTATGTATGATTCTGTTCGCAATCTCTTAGTATGTAAATCGATAAATTTAAGTATAATTTATTTTTATGAAGTGCTTTAAAAGTTAGACGAGGAATAAACATTTAGATCGCTGAAATAGAAAACGAAAAAGGCCTGGGCCACACTGGAGACGTGAAACTTATAGGGCTTTCGCACGAGGCGATTTTTCAGGCAACTTTTAGTTGAAAGCAAAAATCGCCTCGTCCGAACGGCCTTTCAACTAATCGCTTTCAACAAAGTTGGTCGCCAGCCAACTTTGAGCTCGTTCAACTTTTTTTCCTTGCAACCCTGTGTTTCTTTACATTCTGTATCAGTGTTGGGAAATGAAATTGTTCCTTCAGTACGAAATCTATACAAAAAATGTACTTTTCGGCTATAAATTGTATACACTTTTTAATTCGCTCATATATTTTCTTAGTACATTCCCTTCAAGACCAATGATTTTATGGTATTCATGAGAAAGTTTTATTGTTTATGTACATACGTTTACGTATTTTACACTTTTACAAATTGATTCCACGTGCACATGTACTGCATTTAACGCAAATATGTATGCACACATTTTCAGGTATACATCTTAACAAAAAGCATATTTAAGTTGATATTAATGGTTAAAAGAGACACTGGCCCGTAGTCATAGTCAAAATGAAGTCGACTTTAAAGTTAGTTGCAGCTTTTTGACAATTTTCAATGGGATATCTGTCAAAAAAGCTGCAACTAACTTTAAAGTCGACTTTATTTTGACTATGACTACGGGCCATTTTCTTTGGATTCAGTACTAAAATTTGACATTTTTATAGCATTTCAAGTGCTTATCAAAACTTTACGACAAGATTTGACCATTTATCTTAATATTATTAAATTTTAATTATTTTTTGTAAAAATACGGTTTATATTTTAAGAAAAGCCGTACAAATCCAAGGTTCAAACTTTTTCCAACATTAAAAAAAAAAAACAACACACTTTCGTAAAAATTTCGAGCTTTTTAATTCGATTTCCTAGATTTATTTTGAGTGTGCGGTTTTTTAGCAATTAAATTTTAATATAAGTAAGTTTTTTAAGATTTCTTTGATGAAGGTGTTGCTAATTTTCTCCATATAAAAAAATCGTCGAACACACTTCGTATGGAAGAAAATGACTGACATCGTCGACAAAAAAAAATGCCAAGTTCAACGGTAAGTCCCAGCTACTTTAAACTTGCACTTTATTATACTAAAATTGAATGGGCTAAAAACTAAAGAATATTGATAAAGCTTGAAATTTTTACGAAAGTATGTTGGTTTTTGGATGTTTCGCATAGATTTAATCTTGGGTTTATACAGTTTTTCTTAAAGAATACATTATATTTTATAAACAGATAGTTAAAATTAAAGAATAATAAAATAAATAGTAAATCTTGTCAATATGTGAGTGCCGTAAAGGTATTATATTTAAGAAAATCTCTTCTTATAACTAACGAAGACTTTCTTTCTATATGAAGTTGACTTCGACATTTTGTTTTAATAAAACTTAGTATCGAAAAGTTTCTTTAAAAATTTGCCTAGGCTGTATTATACTGGTTCGTTCAAGCCATTTTTCAAAACTTACAAAGGTAAATACGAACTGACGAACAAAAGAGAATACAAAAAATTTCTTGCTGTGAATTTTCAGAGCTATATATTTTTAGTATTCATTACAAAATTGTATTAAAAAGTACTGCGTAGTAGGAAAGTATATTGTAAATGAAATTGTATCAAATAGGTACAATTGTACCAAAAAATGCCAACACTGTTGTGTATACATATTTTTTTTCTTTTTTACTTTTTTACTCTTATTTTATCTTTCAGCTTCGCTAAAAGCACTTATACCAACGCTTGGCTTACCAAATTTACGCCAATTGATAAAATTTGGCGATTTAAACTCATTTTAAATAATGTAAACAACAATTCGAGTTGAATCGAAAATCGCCTCGTCTGAATGGGGATGGCAACTTTTTCACTTTCAACTTCTCATTCAACTCCGCATTCAACTTTTGTTGCCTGAAAAATCGCCTCGTGCGAAAGGCCTATTACGTTACATATCTAGTTCGTCACATAACCAATGTACATATATACATACATATATATCTGCTATTGCTTAAGGTTATATTGTTTGCCTTTTGTCGATCTAGATCCCCTACCTTTATGTTATGTTATTCTGTTTTCCTTTAATTAATTTTTATCTTTATACTCTATCGATAACAAAATCCATAGTAACATCAATCAAAATATCGATAACAAAACCGATAAAAATATTGATAGCTAATTCGATCAACATCAAAATCGATAACAATATCGATAGATAATCGATAAAAATTTCGACAACAAAATCGAAAAAACGATAAGAAAATAGATTATCAATATCGATAACAAAATCTATAAAAACATAGATAAGAAAATCGATAAAATATCGATTACAAAATCGACAAAAATATCAACAATTGCGATAAAAGTGCCGATAACAAACTCGATAAAAATATCGATTATTGTATCGACAAGTTCCGAGAATCCCGAAAATCTCTAAAATCACGAAATATTTCCCAGAATGAGTCTCTGTGTCTATCTATATATCTTTAAACAACCGGTGGGGACTAGGTCATTGTCAAACGGAGCTTCATCTGCCTCGGGAGACACGCACAACACTCGCACAACTTCTTTCCGGCTACTGCAACAGGTTGAACTCCTACTTGAGTAGGTTGAATGAGGATGTGCCGAATGAGTGTCCGGCATGCGGAGAGACCCCACATGACTCGAAACATCTCTTCGCATGCCCGGAAAACCCGACAACCCTAACGGCCTTGTCCCTGTGGACAAACCCCACAGAAGCTGCACGCTTCCTAGGGTTGCCGTTAGTGGAACTTGACGACAACGACTGAGATACCAACCGATCTGGGCGGGGTTGTTGTAGCCGCTACAACAACAACAACAACAACAGGTCATTGTCAAACAAAGTTTTCTTTTGACATACAATTCGTGAATATAATCAGTGGGATTTTCGAAGATTTTCTTAATTTTTTAAGAAATTAACCGTTAATTTAACAGCTGTCAACTGACAATCTATCTAATCGTAAGAGCCCTAATTATTCGCGTAAAACATGGCCTCTCCGACCACTGTGGAAAGTTCAATTCAGGTTTTGCTTAAGTTGAACCTTAACTCTTTTCAGCACAGATGTAAGAAAAAAATCGGTAAACTGCTATTACTGTGTGGTCTCCCAAATATATTCGTGACTTACTCTCAAAAAAACCTTTTCTCATACTTGCCTTGCGAATTTTCGCTGGAGAATGCTGTGTTCGATGTTATAAATTGTGCTTGTGGCGGTACATAATCCGCTGGCGCTTTGTCTAATAATAACCGCACTTTTTCCTCGGTGGCAATGAGCTCATTCAAACGTTGTAACACCTAATGAAATTAGAAAATATTTACATAAGTCGGAGCATGAAGATATTGCATTAATTTTAAATATAAATATATATGAATGTCAAATACCTTGTTACGTATCATCGATTCCTGCTGAGTTGAAAATGAGCTCACAGTTTCGCGCATCCAATTCACACAATGAAAATATATATCCAAAATTCGTTTTTGCAATTGTTCGTCGTAATCGTAAAATATGGCATCAGTATTGGATTCGTCGAAAAAAGATGGCAGTATTATAGCGCAACCGAGTAATGCATTTATTTGTTCCAAACTGCCTTGATAACGCTGCAGATGAAGCGAACGCACTAAATTAAAGAGAGGAGCCAGAATAAGAATTGATGACGAAGACCTACAAAAATTTTAGAAAGACAATAAGTAAACTAAAAGCAAAAATAATTCTCGAACAAGCTAAGCTATACATACACAGTACCCGGTTTCAATACCAACTCTGCTATATTAATAGCAATACTTGGCACTTCACTTTCCTCCATATTCTCAGTGTCCTCGACAGTGTTTATGCATTTCTGATATGTTAAATTAATTCCACTGGAATTTAAAATAAAACATAAAAATAAAAACCCCATTAGCGGATATTATAACAGCTTACAATGTGTTCGTGGGTGAATGTTCGGCTACAAAACTATTTTGAAAATAGAAAGTCATAACATCGCATAACCAAATTAAATATGGTTTGTCCAATTGTGTACAAGTGTCACGTTCACTTGGCATAGACCTACAACTACATGCCATTTCATCGTAAAATAATGCCAGGGATTCAGGACAATGTATAGCAGATGATTCGACAAGCACTAAAACGTTATATTAACGGATGTAAATTCCATGAAACCAAAATATAGTAGTAGGTACTTATGAAGTTAGCTGCCATTTTTCCCCGTCCGTCAGGCAGTGAGCTGGCGTTGGAATATGAAGTGTTAAAATCGTCATGCTCAATTATGGTGTCTTCTATGCGTGCCATGCAATCGATTAACTGCACACTTCCAATGATACCTTGCTTCTTGACACTTTAGAAAAAAAATAAAATAAAAAACTTGGTCGAAAAACCACAAACACATATTGTTTACTGCATACTTACTGCACAGAGTGGTTTATTATTTGTTTTTTCAAAAGCATATCTAGTTGATCCTGCAGTACAGTACACTCAGATAAGGGTGGTGGAGGAAAGGCAATAGAGCAGAGCAATTCCATTGCTAAGCGAGTTTGGGAAAGTGTCAGTTCGCTTAACCGGTCCAGCAAAGGCTTGATGAAAGAGAGCGTCATATATGTAGACATGTAGATATAAATGAATCTTAAATACATTAAAATCTTTCTAACATACCATCAATAGCGTACCCCAATTCTGTATTTCAGGGCGATACTTTCTTTGCAATTCTCTTAGTAATTTTAATGCCAGGTTAGTTAGATTTTGGGTAGATTTATCGCACGTTAATTGAAGCAGTCTTCTCAGAATAGTGCGTTGAATAGAATCACATATTTGAAATAATATTCTGCAAATAATGTAGCGCATATAAGGCAAGAGAGTACTTGCAGCTGCTGCTAAATTTTGCATGATAATAGCATTCATGTTATACATTTATCTTACCCATACGAAGCCTTCGCGAATTCTGCGACTATTTTATTTTTCTCTCTTAGAAAATCATACATCAATTGCATTAAAATAGCTGTATGTTGTTCCAAAACTGCGGCATAGTCAGATTTCATTTCAATAAATATATCAACTGTTATATGTTCCAGTTTTATGCGACGCCGTAGCTAAGACAAAAACAAAAACAAGAGACGTTTTTAAAATAAAGTAGTTTCACAAAAAAGTAATGCCAACTCACAACATTCTCAATATACATATAGTTGTCTTCTTTGACATGTATAAGTAGTAGTACCATTATGAAATCTAATGATCTGGAAAATATATGTATGCAATAAGTTGATATAATTCAGTTAATTGAATTTACTAAAACACACTTAAATTGACTGCCTGGCACTAATGATAATAGCTTTTGCCACATGGTGTAGAATTTTTTAGAGCGCACGAAGGCTTGCTCGATGAAATTGAAAAGTTCAAGCTGTGTTGTGCGCTCCATTGGCGTATTCAAGCGCCACACTAGTATTTGACGTATAGTGGTGACTAACTGTAAATGTAATTATGTAATTAACACATATTTAGATACTTCGTACTTGACCAATCAATCGAGTATAGGCATACTAACCTCAGTAACTTCCTCATCACTAGCCTCAGCCAAATACTTCAGCAGAAGATTTACCAATAACGGCAGAGCCTAATTATTAGAATTAATTAATAAAAAAAACAGCGCTTTACTATGATGCTATAACAAAAAAACAACAGAGTCCCAATTACCGTGTTCACAAAACCTTCCTCTTTTATGTAGTCCAATATTCGATGACGCAGCTGTTCCTGCATGCTTTTTCCTAGATTGAGATTTGCCAACGACTGAATCGAGCTCACATTGAACAAATCTTTATTCAGAGGCAATTTATCTCTAGAGAATACAAATTAAAATGTAATTTCCTTCGAAGCACTGGTTTTTAATAAGCACGGAAGCTGACTTATTTAATGTAGCGTGTAGTTAGTTTCAAATTCTATTATATATGTATGTACATACATAGTTCCTTAGTGACTAATCTACCGATTTTGTAAAACACTGAATTTCAAAAAAAGGGTATTTCTATATTATGGTAACGATATACATGCATACATATAAGTGTAAAATGTAATAAACAAAATAAAATTCCGAAATGGCCAAGTTGCTTTTTTGTCATAAAGTACCCCTGAATTCTGTTTTTTTTTTTTATATTTCTGAACCACAGCAGATGGAACTATCCAATATTGCGCAATTTCGAAATTTTAATGTGCAATATTGTCGGAATAAAAGAAACTGATGCTTTTTATTTTTAGATTTTAGAATTCAGGGTACGTTATAATTGAGCATAAAATATTATGTATTTGCAATGATCGAAGTAGGTAACTCAAAAGTAATTACGTTAAAATAATACAAAATTATTTAAATACTCACAGTAGCATTTGGACAAAACCATCGTGTTTACTAGCTTCCAATATGAACCCAGCATGCATGATGATATCCTGTTTAGACACTTCACTAGCTTCGTTAAATATACCCGTGATTCGCTCATATATTAATGTGCTATGCGACTGCGTAACATGACGCAGTTGAGCTATGAGCAGAGGAAGAAAGGGTACTGTACCATTTGCTAGGAAAACAGGTTGTCTAAAAAGATTTATTGCAAAATTAGAAATACTTACAAATGTTAATAATCTAACTCATGTTATTTTTAATTCTTAACGAAAGGTTTATTATTTACCTCTGTTTGGCAGCTTCCGATGTCTTATTTAGCAAGATATCTACCACAGCATCACGCAAGAAGTCTATCATTAGAAAGTTTACAATCATACTCTCTTGAGACTGATAAACAGAGTCATGGCCTGGAATACTGATTGTACAGCCGCTTAAGAGTTTTAAACTATATTTGCATTTTGGGGACAAAGCCTCGCTCAAACCAGATTTAAACATGTCAGCATTTTCATTATAATTTGAACATTTCAGAAACACTTCCCGAAACTTATTGACAAACGAGATATGATCGCAAGCTGTCCAAAGAAAAATGCATATGCACATGCATACAAACATATTATTGTTATATTTCAATGTTATTAATCCGCGCTACATTATGCATATTTGTACTTACATAACACAAAATTGTTAGCTTCATCCAACAGCACACCAGCTTTAATAAGCACTAATTCAAAGTAGCTCTTTGGTGGGCGGCCACTTAAGTTTCGCGACTGTGTACGTCCTAGTGAAGAGGCAATCATGCTACGTTGTGACAAATAGCGTTGAGTAGCTTCTTGTGAAGCTGGTATATTCTCTTCGCTGCTGCCCCCACCCTCCTCTAAAGTACACACATCAGCTACAACTGCAGTTGTGGAAGTTGGTCGAGTCTTTTTCTGAACTGAGGCTACATTTAAGGATGTGCGCTAAACCAGAAATGTTTTGTTTATTAAATATATTTATCGCCCATATGTACATAGATGAGTATGTGTACAATAATTGCATATCCAAGACTTACAGCAAACTTAACCGATGCATTTTCATCAATTGAACCCAAAGGCCTTTTATTCTCCATAGACCCCGAAGCTTTGGTATCTTTGGCGGGTTTCGCACCTTTATTAAATTTGCGATTCTTATACATTTTGTTTTCAATTATATTATATACAAAAAGTTTATACAAAAATTGCCCGCGAAACTTCAATTGGACTTTGCCAAAACCCTCGCAGGGTTAGGGATGTCGGAAAACCCATGTATCGAAAATATCGATGTTTTGCTTCGATGCATCGGCACGTATCGATACATCGTTGGATCGATGTTTTTTTGAAAACTGACATCTCTAGTACAAACGTACCGTCACAACAACCATTTAAGGCCTTGTCTCCACAGGAAAACACTGTTGTGATAACCATGTCACAACATATACTTCCAATGGAAACCGCCCATGATGCAATAATACAAAGTGGTATCAGTTGTGACAGCTCGATTTGACACTGCCTTAGCTCAGTAGAATAAGAAGAAGAACGGGAAGAAATGACTCCCCATTTGGGGGAAAAATATAAGATTTCATATTTTCTTCTAAACANCACATTTAAGGATGTGCGCTAAACCAGAAATGTTTTGTTTATTAAATATATTTATCGCCCATATGTACATAGGTGAGTATGTGTACAAAAATTGCATATCCAAGACTTACAGCAAACTTAACCGATGCATTTTCATCAATCGAACCCAAAGGCCTTTTATTTTCCATAGACCCCGAAGCTTTGGTATCTTTGGCGGGTTTCGCACCTTTATTAAATTTGCGATTCTTATACATTTTGTTTTCAATTATATTATATACAAAAAGTTTATACAAAAATTGCCCGCGAAACTTCAATTGGACTTTGCCAAAACCCTCGCAGGGTTAGGGATGTCGGAAAACCGATGTATCGAAAATATCGATTTTTTGCTTCGATGCATCGGCACGTATCGATACATCGTTGGATCGATGTTTTTTTGAAAACTGACATCTCTAGTACAAACGTACCATCACAACAACCATTTAAGGCCTTGTCTCCACAGGAAAACACTGTTGTGATAACCATGTCACAACATATACTTCCAATGGAAACCGCCCATGATGCAATAATACAAAG